GAAATATAATTTCTAAACTTATGGATTTTATTATTTTTAATTTTTTGATTTAAAACAGACTGAGAACATGATTTGAGCTGAATATTTCCAAAAATATGCTTCAAAACATTTACAGATTAATATTACACAAAGATGCATTTAATAAGATATGATGCAGGCTTCACAATAAATGTTAAAAATTATCAGCAGAAAACGTTTTGAGATCACGTTAAACTGAATGTGTGGCCAATGGGAGATTGACGAAGACCAGATATAAAAGCATGAAGCTGATTTTAAGAGGTTTATTTTAATTTTAGTAGAAAACCAATAAATTACCATAATAAAATGATAAAATCATTGCCATGTTTACTTGAAACTGATTTTAAATCTTAATGCATTTTAGAATTAATGGATGATGATTTAAACTATGAGATAATGATGTTTGAAAAGGTGGAGTTGAGGTAGGGTGGTTTGGAATGAGAAATCCGTGGCATTATTCCTTAAGAATATGAGAATAAATGAGGAATGCTCTAGATTGTGAGTGGGTGGGGTAAATATGGGGATTGGTTGGTGGCAAATAGCCTAGTTTCTTTTTCCAACTGTCGAGGGATCTTGCACAGTCTGTACACACGGGACCTCATCCAAACAAACTCTCTCAGTAAGTTACAGAACTGTATCAAGACCAGGAAGTCTAGGTTTATTTACCACGGTTTCTGAAACCCTGTGATATTTGATAAAACGGTAATGAAATATTAAAAATAGAAAATAATGATTATAGTCATGGCTGAAGCAATTAGTTTGTCGTTGTTTCCTTGTTCCGTGTTTCTTACAAAACAAACACCTTCCATCAGCCTTGAAATATTTCTGTCTGTCTGTATTGTTACAGGTTTAGCAGTGGCGTTTCTAGGAGGTAAGGGGGCTGAGTCGTGGTCAAATAATTTTACAGGGGGGCTAACAGGCAATTCTGTCCCTATGTATAATATGCAACCCCCCACCCCACTGGAATGCCTCTGATTTATCATTCTGTTGAATTCACCTGATGGTGGGTGGAGCTGATGGTTTGAACCATAATGTTTATTGAGTTGAGATATTTTCACACATCAGGGTGATAAATGTTAAGGGCTGATACCAAGGATATATCATGCTAATATTTTAAACTATAATGTACAGAAAAATAAACCATGAAACTTTTCAGTAGAAATAAAATCAATGTTTTATAGCTTCTGTGTATTAAAAAACAAAGAAATTCAGAAGTAAAAACTGAATACCAATATTTATATAATGGTCTACGTGTATTGAAAATAATAAAAAAGAGAAATCAAAGACGGCTTCGAGAATAAAACATTTGAAATTCCAATATTTATATACTAATCTACGTGAATTGAAACGGAAAAAAAGACAGGTTCAGATATAAAGACTGAAACTCCAGTATTTATGAACTAGTTTATGTGTTATTGAAAATAGATAAAAAACGAAATCTTAGAAAGATAATAGCAGTCTGATCGAATCAGTCCTTAAACTTTTTCAATTATCTTGAATTGGTCTGTTGAAAGCTGTCTGGATGATGGTATATTTTGATACGATTTCCATCTGATTACAACAGAATACAACAGACTGGATAATAGAGACTTTGAAATTAACGAGAGTGACAATGGATTTTTAATTTCAACCTGAGAGATAAAAGTCTGTTAAAAGATTCTGATAATGTCTGTAAAGAGTGAGAGTTATTGACAAAGCTTAATGGAACAACAATTACAGGACAACATTTTGTTAATGTTTCCATTTGTTGTCCTCAGGTCTGTTCTATCCTGTTGTTTTGAAGATTACAGAAGAACCAAATGCCAGATTTTGATTTTGAAAAGTACTATGTATAGCTGAAATTGAGATTTATCAACTAGGAAGGCAAATTTTTTCATAACTATATCTTTATATACCTCCCTATTTAAAATTTTAGTGAGAAAGTCTTAAATTTCCCCTTTCCAGCATTTCTATGCATGGCTAGATTTTTAGAAATCTTTTCTTGGTGGAACAACAAATCGGTAAATATCTTTGAAACTTGTCAATGGGAGCTGATTTCTTGACACATTTGTAGCACCATTCTGAGACTTTTTCCTATATAGTAATTTATGTAATTGTGCTGATTCTTTACCTGTTTTAGAGTTATGTTATCAACATTGATAGGGAAACTTATGTTGAAAAATTCACAAACTATTTGTCACTGTCTACATACATAATGATCACCCAAAGTTTGGAAAATCCTTTTAGGGGTAAAAACTGTGCCGTATACACATAGATATTAAAGTTATCTATATAATTGTTTGTGTTGTTTTGAATTGTATCCTAATGTGCATCATATCTTCACTAGGTTATAATATTGATAGTGTCTATCAATGTAAACCTTGGTACTAGCAGTAGATATAGGTCCAGTTCTACAGGTCTGTCAGTAAAGTTTTCATTGATTAGAAAGTTACTAGTTAGATAGAATCGTGGGGTATAACAGAGGAAGATATTAACAGTAGCAGTTAACACTACACTATAAACTCTCTCTTTATATAGTCTCTTATCACATCACTAGTATTTCTACTTAAAGTAAGGTGTTTCCATTTTCACTGTATGTGGATTATGAATTTCAATTTAATGTTTGGATTTTGAATCGTAAATAATATTATGGAATAACACTTTATTTAGTGGTAAGTTATTTCCATTTATGGTTTTTACTGTCTGTCTGTAGATTATGAATTTCGATGTGATGTTTGGACTTTAATTTAATCAGGTAGTGGTCTATATAGATCTTTAACCCTGATAATTTTATTTTAATATTTCATCACAGCATTTATACCCTAGACTTTACACATTTGTTCTACCTTGTCAGTCATGCCCGACTGATAACTATATCTGACTGGTAAATTTTGATGTAAACAACATCCCTGGATAATGTGGGGTATCTAAGTTAGAAATCTAGAAAGAGTTTTGGGATTAAGAATGGAGATAAAATGTTAAGATTTGGACTGAAGTTAAACTTACACTCATGTCTGTTTTTTATATTATGTTATACATTCTTCTACTTTATATACATTTAGTCAACTACTAGGTTCTACTATGTGACTTTGGTTGAGTGAGAATTGTAGTGGAGAAAAAAAACAAGTGATCATTAGATTTTAAAGTCCGATTTTGGGGAATTTTTAAGAATGTTTATTAGCAGTCAGTATAAAGAATAATACTTGTGGGATTAAAGGATACAACTCAAGTCTTCTATTTTTGGATATTTCAAGTAAAAAAAAATTGGTGAGCACCTTTGATATAATTTTGTAGAATTGTGCTGACAGGATTCCAGGGTATAAGTGAAGGTGTTTTTTTGAGAGATGACCATGTATGTATGAACAGTTCAGTTAAATTTTGTGAGCATTTGTAACATTAGTTAAGAGACTTGTGCTTAGTTTAATTTCTTTATTTTTTGGATATCACTTATAAGGTCAGGTAAAACCATGAACACTTTTAACATAGTTTGATATTAGTTAGTTTGTTTAGAAGAATAACACTCAGTAGATTATAGAGTGTTTAGTTTATTCTGTCTGTGAGATGAGTTCAGTTCTAGTTTGATCACTTTTAAACTTGGACCTCACTTTCAGTTACTGTGTTTCAAACATAGAAACAAGAGTGTTTATTTCTGTGTGGATACTGCAAAAACTTATATCTGTTATTGGCATACTGTTTATTCAGCCAGTCATAAGTGAATGTAGTGGTAAAATGTCTAGCCAAGCAGTATTTTACTTTGTTTTCTTAATGCTAAGATATATTCTTAGACTGTGAAAGTGTTTCAGATATAACAGATTCATCAGGACATATGGGTTGATTTAGTGTAAGTACTGTGGTTTTTATCTTGTATGTTGTTGGATTATGAATCTAGTTTTGTGATTTGAACTGACAAAGGCTAAAAGAATATTAACTCATAAGTATACACAGTAATAGTTAAAACATTTTGCTGTAACGGCCTGGTTCGTTCTGCCCGCGTGCGTGGGAGAACACTGACTTATAAAATGACTATAGTAAATAAACCCAGTATATTTGGTTTGAATAGTTCACACATGTATTTAGGATATAGGAGTAGAATACGGCAGGTATAGTTATTTTTATTCTTGATTACAAATCTCATCTTAAACTTTCTACAAGTCTTTAGGATATACAACCATCATCAGTACAGATTATTTAGAAAAGTAAAATTACTGTAGCTTGCATATATGTTTTGAAGTTTGATTTTTGTTCATTTCTGTTCATCTCATTTGTTCTTTCATTATGAAATACTTACTCATTTATGAGTTTATTAGCTACCTCCAATGTTTCGCCAATTTCAGGTTTCGTTTTTGCGTTTCGTATCATACGCACTTGGTTTATTTATTTGCACCTATTTTAAGCACCTTGAACCAATAAGCGTATTATCTAGCTGAGATTTTTTATACAACTATTATAACTAAATATACTAGAGTCAAACTAAATATATAAATTGTTAAACTGCAGGATATAAGTTTCTATTGTGTCAATTGTTGGCAAGTTTTTGTTTCAAAAAAATATGTATCAGGTTTCTGAATTAGGTTTGTAGAACAGTTAATACAAAACTAGGACATAGAATTGTTTGTTTATGTTTAGATACAGATTCTAAACAGGGACCAGACCTTGCTAGAACGGTCTGGAAGCGAAGAAAATTGTTTGGTGTCTGTTTCGTTGTTAGAAACTTTATAACTTGAATCAGAAAAGCAACGACAGCGAGATTGGCCAACTGAGTCTACCAAGTAACAAAAAAACAAAACATGAAACACCCTAGGATTAGTTTAGCTTCTTAGTCTTCTAACCAATATTTCATGAAGAAATCATCTGTCTGTTACCACTATTTTAGCTACCCAGGGACTAGAAAGATCAAGACTTTAGAATTGTTGTATATTTATAGTACCCAGTGTACTCATTGCCAAGTTTTGATTTTAAATAAATTTATTTTTAGGAAGATAACAAGTTACACATTCTCTGACAACAGTTCCCTGGTTCCCTGGTTGGGTTCCCTGGTTCCCTGGTTGGGTTCCCTAGTTCCCTGGTTGGGTTCCCTGGTTCCCTGGTTGGGTTATCTGGTTCCCTGGTTCCCTGGTTGGGTTCCCTGGTTCCCTGGTTGGTTCCCTGGTTCCCTGGTTGGGTTCCCTGGTTGGGTTCCTTGGTTCCCTGGTTGGGTTCCCTGGTTGGGTTCCCTGGTTCCCTGGTTCCATGGTTGGGTTCCCTGGTTCCCTGGTTGGGTTCCCTGGTTGGGTTCCCTGGTTGGGTTCCCTGGTTCCCTGGTTGGGTTCCCTAGTTCCCTGGTTCGTTTCTCTGGTTCGAATGTTCTCGAAAGTTCTAGATATAAATCATATCAGTTTATGTTATTCTAGTACAGAACCATTATAAAACATGAAAATTCTTTAAAAATAATTAAAAATGAGTATTTTACCTGAGATATTATGATTACTTTTTAATTAAAAGCATGTTTTAATTAATATTGATAACTTTTTAAAAGATTCTAAAAAGTACACTTGAGTTCAGAGATGAGTCACTTTAAATTCCACATACTGGTATTGAGGAATGAAATTCTTTCACCAAATGATTAAATATAACTTACTTTTTCACCTCTGGGTTATGTTCCAGTATAACAATGTTGAAGAGTATAGTATAAGTAACAAAGTATAACAATGTTGAACCGAGTATAACAATGTTGAACTGAATATAACAGTTTTGAGTTAAGAGTAACAAAGTATAACAATGTTGAACTAAGTATAAGTGTTGTTTATTTACTTTAACTTGTATTACCATTTCAAACAATGTTTATGATTGTTGAATATTTTTTGATGATGTTTACAGAATTTTGATGTAAAAATAACTCATTGCCAACAAGGTGTGAAATTATACCCTGAGTTTATTTTAGTTACCTGACAATATGTCATTCTCGTTAGTAACACAGGTAAACTAGTTAATAATTGTTTCACTACTGAACCATGGTTGTTATGGAAATACATGTTTCATGCATGTTGAAGGTCAGTTATCATTACCCTCAAAGTAGAGACATCTCATTAGAATTGACATCTGTGTGATATATCTTGAGATGTTGATGTGACTGTATTAACCAGTCATGTTTGAATAGTACTCAAAAATGTATGGTAGTAATTTTGTTTTTGTTTCATATCATAACATGTTTTGTTGTTTTTACATACCAGTTTTAGACCGACATCTTTTACAATTATTGCCAACCAATCAATAAGGGTTCAGATCATATGAACTGAGAGATTTGTATTTTAGATTGTCCACAGTTAATCAGTTCCACGCTCCTGTCCAACCAAAAGTACACGATCAATACTAATAATCATTGATAGTATTAGCTCCACTATATAAGTATTAATTCAGGTGGTTGTCAGCAAGACTCTTATAGAATACTCTGACTGTCCACTCTGTACTCCCCAGAGAGTTCACATATTCAAGAATGTTATCTTGACATGGTCCTAATGAAATATAATGAATTCTATGTCCTGTTGTTCTGTATCTAATTGAGCTGTACCAAGATCTTATTATAGTCTTGACATTATCTTGTTTACTAAAAGTTCAAAACAAATGACTTGTAAATAATTGATCACTGATTTTTTTGTTTTGATTAATTGTGTTATTGATTAATTTAATTAACCTTCTTGTACGGAGGAAATTTATCAAACAAAATTATTTATGTGGACTCTCAGAATAGAATGCTTATTCTTAGAGTCTCACAAAGGGATGCCAAGTAGTTTTTAGCAGATTCAGACACATTTATCAATCAACCTAGCTGTACCGAGAATCTTGTAATGTATTAAGATTGATCTGATTGTATCTCATGATGATGATTTATATAGTAGTGGCACAAAGCAGACCATGCTTACACTTTTCTAATCAACTGATGGTACTTCTCTTTGGAGGAGTCCTGGAGGACGACTTTTACTCTCGATTTTGCCAGACAAGATTTTTTTTTGAATGGAATTGTCTTGTCTTATGGGGATTTTTAATGAAACAATATTTTTACTGTCTTAAAGGTATGGAACCGTGTTCACAGTGAGTAAGAGGCTTGCTCGCTAAACTGAAGGTCTAAGGTTCAGTCCCAGGTTTAGTTGATGCAAGATCATGGAATTTTTCACGCCAGCTACATGTCTGGAATTTCAGATGGGACAAGCCCCAGATTGTGAATTTAAAGATCCCTTGACAGTTGGAATAGAAAATACTTTAATAACCCTGTGTTTTATCATTGCACACGGCATGGTGTTGCTAGTCTTCATTTGCCCAAATTAGTTTCATTTCACATTTTTCGATGGGATGCTGGGTTGTTTTTTTAAAAGTTCCAGACGAATGTGTTTATTAACCTAACTAATTAGAATATTTCGTGATGAATTGAAAGACAAATATTTTTATCAACTATCTTCCAGGTCTAAATCAGTAAAACTGACGAAATATCAATACTTTAAATATTTCTTTTATAGATTTATAGAAATTAATGATCAAGACCGGTAATGACAGACAGATCAACTTTATTCTTTTAAGATTTGAAGAGTTTTGTTTATTAATTGGTCACAAGGTTTGACAGAGAGGAGGCCCTACACCTATTTATGTCAAGGCATGTCTCCTCAACTGTAATAAACTGTCACAAATTGTCTGAATATAATCCAGATTTTAAGAAATACGATCTATCTATCAGTGGCTGACACACTAAGATCATTTAAAGCTAAACCTTCAAGAAGAAGTCTGTAACTTCCAGAAGATTTATCCTTTTTTAAAGTTTTCGATCAATTCCTTATGAAATTGAGGGAAAAGCAATTACAAATTCAAATTTCTAGAAAGCTATTTATCGTTGAAGACCCCCTGGAGAGTTGATGAGGTAAAAGTATATTTTAAGAAAACCATCGGAAGTGTTTATCGTGTTTTGGTGGCAGAGATCGTGTTTATTATTTCAACATCTGTTACAAGCTAATTACTGACTTTTATATCTTAATATTATCTTTTATATTTTAACTAAATAATGTTAACAACTATGTGAACTCTCTGAAAGGTCTGCTGAAAAAACATAAACATAAGCTATAGCGATAAGGTATAAATTTCCCTCATTGCACATTGCATGGTGTTGCTATTCTTCATTAGCCAAATCAGGTGCAGAAAAGTAGGACATAAAACTTCATTTCAATTCATTTCTTCGTAAGACATGTTTTTTTAATAAAAATGTTGTCTAATGAGTTCGTGCAGACATCATACTCCAAATATTAAAATATTCCTGTGGATTTTATTTCCGATCTCATTTCCTGGGCAACGGAGAATTCAAAATAACTTACGATCGATTTTGAAGATATTTACAAAATATCACGTGTGTTTTTGTTACGAGTTGATTAATATCTCGTTGAAGTCTGTAGTTTTTCAGGTTTCATTTCAGACTCTTTTGTCTCAGGCGTGAAACATGAGATGTCGTTTGTTGTAAGATACCAGGCTAATGAAGGTTAGGCTAGGCCTTTTTTTATTTTCTAGTTTTTCTGGACAAAAGAAAATGTTCAAAGCTCATAAAGTGGGATTTTAAATTGTATTTTGCCCCAGACATTTGTCCAAGGATCAGCTGATAGACAGAATCTTCAAGAATCTAATTTGTTGCACTTGTAAAATCATTACCAAGAGGTTTGATCAAGGACCAGCTGGTAGAAAGGATCTTTGTGAACCTATGTTGTTATCTTTGTAAAATCATTACCAAGAGGTTAAACCAAGGATCAGCTGGTAGAAAGGATCCTTGAGAATCTTTGTTGTTGCACTCGTAAAATCATTACCAAGAGGTTAAACCAAGGACCAGCTGGTAGAAAGGATCCTTGAGAATCTTTGTTGTTGCACTTGTAAAATCATTACCAAGGTGTTTCATAATGGACCAGCTATAAAACAAGATCACTGAGAACATAATGTGGTCATCCGTATAAACCATTACCACAAATCCTATTTTGATCAAAACCATGAGGTTTAGTCAAGGATCAGCTGGTAGACAAGATAGCTGGAACCTATCCTTTGAAAACTATTTATTACCACAATGTTTAACCAAGGACCAGCCAGTAAACCAAATCATTGGGAACCTTGGTTATTATCTGTCCATGTGAAAATATTGTGTCTTTGTGCATTGTATATTTCTCATTCATTAAAAAGGTGTCAAAGTTGAAAAAAAATCTCTAAATCTGAGTTCAAGGCCGGGCGTAGTAGGATTTAATTTTATTTATGAGTTTGGTGGTGTTAATATTAGACCATTGTTTTGAACTGTTGATGACCCACAAATAATATTCTCGGGTCAGGCAGGGTTAGAAAAATACATCTTGTTGTTTTTATGGTATTTCATTTTTTTAGCATCACCCAAGTTTCTGACTAATTTAGTGGAAGTCGTTATGAGTACATGTTAATTGGATATTGGCGCTAATGTGTTAGAAACTTTTTATTTTACAACTGTGAGTTGTTTCTGACTGTGATTTCAATTGAAGTAAAGATGATGAATTACTCTTGAATTGGAAATTGGTGCTTATGGGTTAGAATCCTCTATTTTTATTGTTTATTATCATAACATTTCACTTTTTGTGTAATATTGTTATATTTTGTTATTTTACCAGGTGTTGAATTTAAATCTGGCACTTTGGGGTTAGAATTTTATATTTGTACTTGTTGTCAAAGTAACTTTGATCTAACAAATACACAGGGTATCTATATTATATCAGTTAGTTTTTGAGTAGCTATCTTATATTGTAATAGTAATCTATATTCATGGGATAATGGCGCTTATGGGTTAGAATTATGCTTCATATCATTGTTTGTCATAAAGTTTGTTTTATTAGAGCGATTGTATTGAATTACTAATTAATTGGATTGTATCGCTTCTGAGATAGATTCTCAATTTCATATCTTATGTAGAATTAGTTGATTTATGATTTAAATTTGTCATTAACAGATAAAAAAACTAATCGAATATCAAATTCACAGGTAGACTTAGTTGATTTATTATTTCTTGTTATTATTAATGGCTCACATAACAAATCAATCACAGGTCTGTTGATTACATTATTTTGTACTGAAAGATTATATATCATCTTAATATCTTCCCTAGCCAGTACTTTTGGTCTTTACATTTTTTGAATCTACAACATCAAATTTTTAACAGGCTACAATTGTGAAAAGTGATGAGCCAAAATTGAATTGTATCAGCTGAACAAAATAAGAAAATATACTGTCAACTATATCCTTCAATA